TTGTGTCGGAAAGCTTATTGGTCAGAAAAGAGTAAATAATTTGCTTTGCTAGTTGATTTGCTTTTATGAAATAGCACTGATGTTTATCGTTGGCAAGGATTTGCCGATTGCAAGCAACCAAAGTTTATGAAAATACTAATGAAATTATGGGTTTGACACATTATAATTATGAATTAGAGGGTGGGTGATGACTCGGAATCAGAATCGGACTATCTCTCATCGTAAGGTTATCTTTTGTGTGTTATTGTTATTAATTTACAGTTTAACATTACACTTTTTATGCATTTAATACCACCAGAGAGGATGAACAAGAAAAGAAATATGCTAATGAGGTGAGATATTTAGTCTTAAGATTCAGGAAACAGCATAAGCTGCATAGCACTGTGTTCTACTGCCAGAATAATAAGTCCAAGATGCTAATTCAACTGCTTTTGTAATTATCAGGATGGTCAGCTACATGTAGCCAAAATCATGAGAGAAAAAGATGAAACATTGACTATAATGAATGTCAAGACATGTATACCACACCCAATACCAAGAGATGTGCACCATCTGGAACCACTAGGACTAAACGATTTTTAGAACAAAGGGAATTTATGACTGAAGAGGACATAAAATATATACGTAATATAATTAGACGTTTAGACGAGTCTGTGGAAAAATCAAAACATCAAACCTTGTTAATATTAACAGAATATATTATATATTAGCCAATAAAATTGCTTGTGATACTTAAATCAGTTATATCCCCGCTTCAGATATATCCCCCAAAGTCTCCGCCCCAAGTACCAAGGTGGGGATATAAACAAGTGATGACTGTAGACAGGTGCAATTGTACTCAAAAATCGGATTTTTATAGAGGTACACATTTATCTGATACTGTAAATTCTTTGAAAGCATGATCTGTCTTATTAAAATTAGACAACTCCAAGTTCAGCAAATTAATACCACACTTAATATTAAATTTCTATACTAATACTGAAAAATGCTGTCAGCCTAGCCATACAAGATCAATTGAAGTCAACTATAATTTGTATAAATGTGGTATTAAAAAATCAAACTGTTTTGGATTTTTTTTCTACTACTACCCAATTTTTGTGTACTAGTACTAATTTCCGTCTTCCCTCTGTTTTGCTGACAAAGAAACTTTAGCTATTGTTTTCTCTGCCAGCTGCACCTATTTTTAACTTTCATATCAAATTTTGGTCCATTTTATTAATAATAATAATAGCCTAAGATTTTACATTGTTGTTATATCAATATAATACTAGTATAATAACCCAGTTTCAACAACCTGCAAATCAATAATGCATACCGTATTTTGCTGATGTAAAACTTTAAAGTAGAAGCAAATATAAATAAAAAAGGCTGTCATTGATTAAAAAATTCACAACTCTTTCAAATAACAATATACATTTGACATTCATATAATTTAACTATGTTTAACTCTCTTATTATTATACAACTCAACTTTTTCTCTTATCTTTTTCTTAACTTCAATTCCGTTTTCATAAAAAATATAGACTTTATTTCTTGCCTTACTATAGCCTTGTTCAGCAGCTTTTTCATATAATTCAAATGCTTTTGAAATATCTTCTTTTACTCCAATTCCATTTTCATAATACAGACCAAGTATGTATTGTGCATACACATTACCATCTTCAGCAAGCAGTTGATAAAATTCAATTACATCCTGAATATCACCCTCTGTTCTAAAAAAGCTGCTATAATGTGTGCCATGGTCATGATCACATTGCACTGACATATGTGCCTCTCTAACTAATTTCTGATATAATTCAAATGCTTTCTGATTATCTTTTTGTATTCCAGTTCCCTTCTCATAACATAAAGCAAGGCCAAGTTGTGCAAGTGCTAATCCTTGTTCAGCTGCTTTTTGATATAATTCAACTGCCTTCTGCTCATCTTTTTCTACTCCAGTTTCATTCTCATAACATAAAGCAAGACTACATTGTGCATAAGCATCTCCTTGTTCAGCAGCTTTTTGATATAATTCAAATGCTTTCTGTTCATCTTTTTCTACTCCAGTTCCATTTTCATAACACCAACCAAGATTATATTGTGCTTTGGCATGCCCTTGTTCAGCAGCTTTTTGATATAATTCGGATGCCTTCTGTTCATCTTTTTCTACTCCAGTTCCATTTCTATAACATAAAGCGAGCCAAAGTTGTGCTTTGTATTTGGCATGCCCTTGTTCAACAGCTTTTTGATATAATTCAAATGACTTTTGTTCATTTTTTTCTACTCCAATTCCAATCTTATAACATAAAGCAAGACTAAATTGTGCATGTGCATCTCCTTGTTCAGCGGCTTTTTGATATAATTCAAATGCTTTCTGTTCATCTTTTTCTACTCCAGTTCCTTTCTCATAACATAAAGCAAGACCACATTGTGCAAGAGCTAATCCTTGTTCAGCTGCTTTTTGATATAATTCAACTGCCTTCTGCTCATCTTTTTCTACATCAGTTCCTTTTCCATAATAATAATGTAAAGCAAGATTATATTGTGCACTAATATGTCCTTGTTCAGCAGCTTTTTGATATAATTCAACTGCCTTTTTTTCATCTTTTTCTACTCTGGTTCCATTTACATAACATAAAGCAAGATTAAATTGTGCATCAGCATCTCCTTGTTCAGCAGCTTTTTGACATAATTCAACAGCCTTTTGTTCATCTTTTTCTACTCCAATTCCATTTACATAACATAAAGCAAGATTATATTGTGCACTAGCATGTCCTTGTTCAGCAGCCTGTTGATGTAATTCGACAGCCTTCTGTTCATCTTTTTCTACTCCAGTTCCATGCTCATAACATAAAGCAAGCCAAAGTTGTGCTTTGGCATGTCCTTGTTCAGCAACTTTTCGATATAATTCAACTGTCGTCTGCTCACCTTTTTCTACTCCAATTCCTTTCCCATAACATAAAGCAATATTATATTGTGCACTAACACGTCCTTGTTCAGCAGCTTTTCGATATGGTAAATATAATAGTTCGTTTCCCTTTCCCTTTTTCATTCTATTGTATGAGTAAAAGGGTATAATGTATAATGATAGTAACAAGTGATAGTAATGGTTATTTATCAAAACCTCGATTAACAATCATGTTCATTTCTCAAGACAAACTCGCAATGATATGCGCAAATCTGGGGTTCGAATTTCGAACCAACCTCTATGTTATTCAAGTTTAAGCTGTTGTGATAAATTGTTTTACTAATGTGCTTGGTGTAAATATTACCAAGAATACCACCGGGTACGTATAGAAGATGACATCGTCGGATCTGTACTGGGAATATACGTGTGTTACGTCACACGCTGCGGCAGTGTTTATGTTGCAACAATTATTCGTTACACATAGTCGTCCACAGCAGAGAAAGTTGCGAAGCCTTCATAGTATGCACACTAGTTCGTGAATAGGGCCTTCTCGAACGAAGGCATACCTATTCAGGAAACCAACAGCAGCAAGTTCAATACAACAGACAACACTCACGGATGAGATGTCTCGCAAAAAATACATTAAATTACTGTCAGTCATCAACGATATCGGAACTCAAGACATTACGAAAATCAATGGTTTACTAGTAATAAACGCATAAAAACTTTTGCCAAACATGTGACGTTTTTCCTTTGATTGTTGAAGACTTTTTCGTCCGCGTGTTATACGGAAAGTAGATCGCTGTTAAGGAGCATAAAGTACTTTACTGTATTAATTACTGCAATAGGACAAACGCCGTATAATGCTTCAAGTGTATCGATACGTAATACGCGTATATCGATGTGCATAATAAATAAATTTTAACAAAGATGAAATGTCACGATAGCGTAAAGTGTTGTATATTAAACAACTTTCGTGACTGTTTTAACAAACACTAGAGCTAATAACAAAATGTCTGCTAAACCTACGTTTTGTTCAGGCCTTTTGAACGTGCACAGTCATATTATAAAACCGTTTAATAATGAAATTGTAAATGTTGACAAGGAATTCTGCACCGATAGTTTCGACGATTATTAAACATAAAATCCAATATGTTAACCTTTACGCTATTATTCTTGAAGTAAAAGCTTAATTGAAAGTCCCGTTCATAAAAAGAAACTGTGAGACTGTGGATCGATTACGTATTGATATTAAGCTTACATGAGCAAGATTATATACCGCGATTAACGAATAAGTACAGCAAAAACCTTTAAGCAATTTCTATTTTTTTTAGGCGTTGTCTATTATTATATTAATTATGTTATTTTTTACAATAACAAAGAGTTTAATCTCAGTGCCGGTTAAATCGGCCCGTTTAGAACCCATTCGCTGATTAGTCATTATATTTACACACTTATGACAGCCGTTGGTAATCTATGCAATGAAAACTTTCAACCAAGATGACAACAATGTATGCAATGGGTTGTGATCACCTTGGTCGACATGACTTATCAACTCTCTTTTGTATACCACATGACTTTTATATACGAGACTGCATGCAATATGTCATGCTATGTGTCTCTGTCTTGATAAAATTTCACATCTCTTTGTAATCAATCTTACTCTTTATAAATATGTCGATTGCGTATTAACAATTGATGTGCAGTTCGATTGCACTACTGTAAATAATGAGATAACTTTTCTCCCATACCGTGCGCAGTTACAACAAGCAGACGTATCTAATGTTGGACAATTTGGCAATCGACAAATTAATATTTCCGCAAATCTGATGATCTAGTGAAACGTAACAAGTCGAATTGAACTTACGTTATTTCTACCCCATATGTTACATTGAGGAGCGATTTATGGCTATCATGAATAATTTGTCTTTGTTTGGAGACACAATAAATTCATTGACATTTCATCTCATGCTAATTTAGTAAGTCAATATTTATGCACAATGCGGATGCAGATATTATTAATACAATTTATTAGAACAAAATGCGGGCAACTGACAATTGTCTATATTAATATATTAGTATGCATGCATGTAAATGTATTTATAGAAGTCTCCTATGTGCGACGATAATCTAACTAAAAAAAAATGGTAAAGATCTACACTATGATCGCACCCAATAATAAAGTAATGGGAACAAGAAAAGCATTATCGCGAATTGCCGAAAGAGTTGTGCCAGCACTGTTGCCACCGCTACCACCGCTGCCACCGCTTCCACCGCTTCCACCACCACTGCTAGTGTTGTCGTTGCTAAGGCTAGTGGGTGTCGTAAAATCTGCACCACATTTTGACGAAATCAACGCTATCTGAGCATCATAGGCGGATTTATCGAACCCGAGAGCGGTGAGGTAGGCTGCATTTTGCTGGACGATTGCTTGAGAAATGCCTACAAAAGCCTTGTTACAAGTTGTGCACAGGACGCTTGCCGGTATGTCATTCACGCTGTTGGCATTTTCGTATGGTGTCAACTTTTCGGTTGATTCAATTATACAATATCCTCCGGTGCTGTTCTTTAGGCAAGAAGCGCCTTTAATAGGACCGTAGAATCTGACGATTATGTCTGCGATCGCACCCCCATAGGTATCGGCACCGCATGCCGAAACGACGGGAGTGAAAGCTTTGTTGAATACATCTGCGCTACATGATGGGTTTGTGCAAAATTGATCTAAAAATTGCGATTCGTATTTTTCAGGGTCTGTAACTGCACTAGTTGGATCCGAGTAGAGACTAGTAAAGTCGTAGCAAGCAAGCAAGTCTTTGTTGGATAAAAGAGTTTGGTAAGCTGATGCGCACTGTGGGGATATATCCCCTGGTCCTGCTGTCCCGTTTCCTGCTCCTCCTGTTCCTCCTGCTCCTCCTGTTGGGTATTGTCCGGCTACTAGAGCTGCCGACGTAGCAAGAACTAGGGTTGAGACAAGTGCTAGTTTCATTTCGTAATTTGTGTGTTATTTCGTTTGATTGTAGAACAATTTAATTGCGATTGAGAATTTTCTCGATGAGATTTAGAAAAAGAAGTAGGATGAGATATTTATATGCATTACGGATAAATTTCATGAAACAGTGCCACTTCTTCAATTGTGTTGCTATTTTAGGAAATGAATGATGGCGTAAAAATAACTAGTGGTTGCCTATGCCAACACAAAACTAATTAGCCGCTGTAAATATTAATATATACAAACAACTAATTAGTTTTATTGGGTTCTAATCTGGGAATGCATGTGGGAGATAAAACTTAACTTTGAAACAGAGCAAACAATGTAAGCAAGTCCTTACATTTGCTGCATACAACAATTCCAATTAATGTCATCGTTAATGAGCACAAACATTAACGCCAAGTCCGTTGATTGGGCGTAATATCTGGCGTTGTGTGTCCATGTTCTTGTGTGGTAATTTTGATATATGTGATTGGTAATGAAGACAGTGTGTGGCTTGTTTCAGTAATTCGAGTCTGGAATACAGTTTTAATATAAATGGTACAACCACCCCAAGAAGTCATCAGGGATACCCGGAACAATAGGAAATGTGATACCAAACGTGCGATCCAATCCTATGCAGTGCTAGTCAACAAATATTACCACTGTACTACTGTGGTTTTATGGTGGTCTTCACACCTAAAACGCTTGGTTTCAACTTCAATTGCTAAAACGTAACTTAATGTCCAATTTTAAATTGTATCAAAATTTAAAATTCGCTTTTATTTATTTTATTTTATTTTTTTGTTTCGTGATGATTTCTTAATAATGTAAATTCTAATATACACTTGGTGAAATTGAGTTATTATATTATATAATACGTAAAGTCAGGATATTGTCTCTTGTAATGGGATCGAAAAATGCAATGCTCTTTGTACGGAATGACTATGAACGACAAATCTTGTTTGAATGCATGTTTAGATCGGTAAAACCAGTTTGTTTAACAATGTTACATTAATAATCATGCTTTTGTTCTTTGAGGTGCACAAAATTAATTATATCGGAATATGTCGATATTCCAACAAAATTTAGATCAAGCTTTCCTGTCGTAGAATAAATTATAATGTTAAAGACAAACTTTCGAAAAATATTACCGTTGAAATTATAACGAGTGATCGCTGACAGTCAGCTTGTGATTGTTACCAACCGACATGTGTTCACGCAAAAGAAAGACGGTTTTGTTGAACTGTTGTGGATAGCCACACATTCAAAAAAGTAAACTCACCGATAACCAAGTGATATACCACAAAACAGGTTATAAAAGTAGTATAATTAAACAAGTGAATAATATGAAAGGCTATTATTATACGTTTAATACACTTGCATAGAACTGTGGAACGCTGAAGCATTTTCTTAAATAATTTTCACATGAGAAGTATTAGCTTTACTATTACGCACCAATAATATTGATTGTGACGTTAGGTGCCTCGCAGCGACATCAGGTGATCATTATGGTTAGATAAACAATACGAACATATACTATGCTAATTTTTCTAGCTTTACGCGAAAGATTCTACGAGTCAATCAGTTTGTTTTTACGGCGATACTGGTGGCTTGACTCTGATAATGTTGCTTTAATACCGTATACTACCGTGAATAAGCACCCCTCATTATGATAAGGGTGGGTGCTTATTCATGATAGTATACGGTAAATGTCTTTGCAGCTTTGAGTGTGAGTGCTTATACTATCTTTGTAATCTGCGAACAATGATTGTGGAATAGTGTGCAGATAATGGTTGTGTTTAGAGTTAAACTGAGTAACTTTCCTAATTTTTCCTAATGCGCTATTTTGTGCGAAATTTTCATTCTCTCATTGTTGGTAAGATCTAGTAATTACGTTACTGGACACAAAAAGACTCCACAGACTTCACATCTTGCCGACTTACTATCATGATACTGCAAAAAAAAAATTAAATATAGTGTTTTAATTGATACAACGTTATAATGCGTGTACTGATTGTTATTGTTCAGTTATAGTTATTCTTGATTCTAGGCGATAATTTGGAAAAAAGGTTAAATATACAAGATACAACAAAAAAAAGAAAAATCTTAATATTAACGGAAAAAATTATAGTTGGTGAGCAATTTTATATTTGACTTTTATTTGTTGTATTTAAACTTTAACAAGTTGGACTGTTGTATTTCACATATAATCAACTCTTGCATCCGTGGTCCGGGTTTACATTTTTCAATCCCAAGTTTTTTTAGCCTGAAATGGTCAAATCGAAAACTCGATTTAGTATTTTTATATACTTGAAGCTGGACGCAAACATTGTAAGAAATTGTTGGGCAATAGGACGTTCTACTTTGTTCGAATACATTACTGTTTCTCGGAACGTTTTATTAGCTGACTTGATAAAGAACTCGGATCTGGCTATGTTCTTTTTGTCTCGGAAAAATTACGGCTTTTACTATAATCCCGAGCAATTTGAGGAAAGTGAGGATTTACTCCAAAGGTCTTTCAATTCCTTTCCGAAGTATACGACGCGTACTTACGATAAAGAAGTCGTTTAGTCTTTCTTGGAATCAAAGAACATTTGGGTTGTTGAAGTTGTTAGCAAGGGCCGTGAAAGAGAGAAGTAATAGCGATAACGCATCTATACGCTTTTTCAATTTGATATTGATATTTGACCCCCTCCCTCCAATTTTGAACTAGCATAACATGAGAGGAATACATACTTTTGCTTGAAAATTTAAAAATTGATAGTGAACAAATAAGGCAGAGAGACTCTTTGAGACAGCAGGCAGGGTACGGCTGGTGTTGTTCACATGATTAAATATTACACCCCGAACAGGAATTAGCCAAAGAATTAGAAAAGGTGGGATCTAAATTTTATCTTTTATTGTTCGATACAGTCGTTCTTGAAATAAAATTTTATATTGCATATTGTAAAAAATTCCTCAGACAGTATGATAAATTTATCAGCTGTTTATAACATACGGGTTTCTCGCATTATGAATATTAAAATAAGTATATGAGCGCGAGTAAATCAATCAAAAACACATTTTCGTGAATTACTCTATAACGACGAATACAGTTTAAACTTAAATTTAGGAACGCATACGAGGCCACGGTCGCTTAGGTATGTCATTAAATCCCGAAAAATAATCAACATACCCCTCCGTTGAGTCATACAAATTGGGAAACCGCTGCGCGTTGAAAGTAATAATTTCATTTACATTTGGCCTAAGAGCGTACGTCACAAACAAATCACCAAATTACGTAATAGTAAGGCAATCTTATTAACCTCCATGTCGGTTAACGTTTAGAACTGATTCAGCGTGGATACTTTATATTAACTTCGGATGCACGGATTGCAATCGTTTTATTTTCGTAAAAGCATGTTTCAGGTAATTAGTAATGGCTTACATTATATGTCTTTTATTGTATCACGTAACTAATTGGAAGCGTATTCGACTGCTAATATAGTAACCAGAAGTCCATAATTACTGTTGGGGACAATATTTTGTATGAGGAAATACAGTTAGACGAGCTTCCAACATGTAAAATTTTTTTATGATAAAATGGATATAATAAAAACTTCAATTGAAACTCGTCTAAGATGGTGAGAAACCTTTCAAGGTTAAGAAATCCTCACTCAAAACTGCTGCATGACTTTTCGAACAATGTCCAAGTATTGTTGATCTATACCTCCCGTTCAACTTTTACAGGCTTTCTGCGGCGACCTTCTTCTGGATGGCTTATAGGTAATCGTAAAATAACATGGACCCAATAACGTGTATTCCGGATAAAAAATTCCGCCCTTCGTCTTCTAAAATAAAAAGCGTTAATATTGGCATATATAACTTTTTGGTTAATATTACTTACGTTAATCAAATAAATTGCCCAGTATAAAGCTGTCTCCATTAGCGTTACATTAGTTTCTGCTTTATAAATGAAGTTATCAGCTCTAGCAATAAACAGTGTCTGTCTTTAAGAAAATCATAAAGATCTTGTATATAGTCGTCGATTCCTGAATCCTTGGTCGAAAATCTATACATCGATGTGCGCGTGTAAAAACAAGCGTCTTTATAGATTAAGGTGTTTTGAGTAACTTTATGGTCCGATTTACAGTCGAGTGTCTATAAAAAAATAGTCAAATTATGTTCTATCATTGAAGCGTTCTCTTATATTATTTACTAGTAAGTCATGATAAAATGTTCTTATGAGAGATTATTCCTTTATAGAGAGTTCTTTTATGAAGGTTCGACTGTATTACTAGAACGTGTTGTAAAACATTTACTTAAACAATACGTTTCTTATAGTAAACACCATGAATAAAGTGTTAATTGCTAGATAAATGCTATTGACATGGCTATTGTTAAGTTCATTTACTTTTCTAACATTAACGAAAAAGTAATGAATGATGTAGCTGGAGCGTAATTAGTCTGGTAAAAATTGACAAATTAAGCGCCAAACTTCCCAATTGCTAATGGTATATTCTTGTCCGCGTTTTTGGAGCATAAAGTGTGTATGCACTTGGGCGCTCGTAGTCGTCCCATAGTATCTCTGAAGATGGTTTACCAGCGACCATCAAACACGTAATAATCCCAGAATGCATCTACGTATGGTCAGATTCAATCTCATTCGAGGCGCTCTACCGTTTATTATACTTGCAGAGTTACCCAGAAATCACACTGTACTTGGTGTCAAATAGTTGCCGATTTGCATATGGATTGACCTTATTGTACCCGTGCGTTGGAAGTTGTATGAATTGACCAGCATCAACTCTACCATCATGCAATGCTTGTTTGTAAATAGCGTAATGGATAGTTCCGTTGGTGTTCATTGTATTTGATTCTATGCTCTAATCTCTGAATAACAAATCCAATCATAATTACTTGTTGAGAATTGAATCGAGTTATTCATCGCTGGATTGTCGTATGTCCTTAACTCCTGGAATTAAACGAGAATTATGTCGTGTCCGTCGGTATTGTTATAAAAATTGTACTCTGTCGCCGTCAAATATAGATATGGCCATGTCATTTCAATATATTGATGGCATAGTAAGATGAGGTAGATGGATCAAATTCATAAGCCAGAAGCAAGTGATAGATTAGAGTTGTCCATAATAAATGAATCGCTCTTTCTGAGTAAACAATCCCTCGGATTGTATTGTATTTTGTTTAATATCGTAGCCGGTAATAGTTCCATACTTTTTAGTTTCATTTCGTTATTAAAAGTCTATAAACATTATGCATACGATGCGCAATTAGCGTTTGGGACAACATAGATCGCAACGGCAGAACTGGAGGATTTGGCTTTTAACTTTCAACATATCCCTTACTTGCCTTACTTATTTCATTTAACCAGTCGCGAGAGTTCAGACTTGGCGTCATGACTACAATCGACCAAATTAAAATGGACGAGAGTGGGAAAACAACATTCAAGCGGCAGAAAACTGGCTGCGGCTACTCCAACCGTTTGGCTAATCATAAGTAGTCAGAGGTGGATGCTCGTATCCGGGCTGCGTCCTGGTATGGTGGACAGCTGACCATGTTTACGCCAAAGCGTAAGCTAATCTTGGTTTTTGCTATGAGAATGGAAAAAGAGTAGAAAAGAACAATTTTATGCAACGCGAATGTAGTACAGACTTGGTATAGTAATAGATTTGAATATTTTCATTTCGCCAGGCCTTTCATTTATTTTGACTGTCAACAGATTTTAATATTACTCTTCAATTCGTCACGCTTACAATACAATGGATACTCTCTATTTATTTAGTCTTATCAGGAAAATTCTGAACATGTCCTCACGCAAACGTTTTTATATCCCCCTAATAAAAAAAAAGAAAAATTTAAATTACTCGTATAATAAACTCAATGTTTCCCCTTTTGCCATTTCAACTTGACTTTGATCTGTCTCTTCTCATCGCCAGCAACAAACTTACCTGTGCTTCATCTGCAATACCAAAGCAATCTTCTTCCCGACCACATTAGCAAATTTTCTCCGATTCAGCATACTTTTAATCCTCTTCCTCTTCACGGTCGGTTTCTCATAAGCCATGGTCCTTCGTACCTCTCGCCGAAGGTTATTCTGAGAGAGTATGACAGATAACCGCCTATATGCTGCATTTACGATATTGTACATCACAGGAACCGTGCGTCCTGCTGCAGGGCTAGTATCATTTTTCTGGGGAATTGCCAGTCGAGGAGGGGGATTATAGGTCAATCTGGGTGTAGACAGTATCGGAATGATGTTGCTGGACTTGGTGGATTTTGATCGGGTGATAAAAGTCGGGTTAAAGAGGCGAGTGGAAAGACACGGTCTTGAGAACATTTTTTTTGTTTGAAGATTTCGTTACTCCGCTTGCCAGATTGATCGTCATAATTAACATGCTTGGTTTTCTATTGGTCAGCACCCATCAGTAAATTCTGATGGCACTGATCAAATTGGAAATGGATACGAAACAGAGGCATAGCGATGCGTTCTCAACAGCTCGAAACAAAATGCTACTGCATGTAGGTGTTATCCATCAACCAGAAAGTTTCTTTTTTTTTTCTTTGTTGATGTACATAGCGGTAGATGTCCCACCTATTTATAGTCGGAGCATCGAAGGCCCTAAATTCTAATGAGTAAATATAGCCGAAAAACGATTGTAATTACAATTGATGATTTAAAGTCGGCATGATATATTAATATCAATATTAATATTAATATGAATGTAAGCCACTATTGCGGGTTTACCGCCACATCAGCCACTTGGCGTTCAAGGTCATGCAAAAGTCACGTTACTGAAAATTGGTAACCTCTGTCGTGACATTTAACATTCCCTTTCACATTTGATATGGAAGGACGAGAGAGTGAGTGACTGATTTTCGATAATTGCAAAGTGATTTAATGAATAAAGTATGAGGCGATAACGGGTAGTGCCCCTAGTTAAGGCAGAGACAATTGGTTCTCCAATGGATACTGATAACGAGACGGTGCCACGCAATGATAACCTTGAATCTGAAAGTGCGAGAAGGATACGAGAAATAGAAGAGACCGAGAAAGTAATGTCTCGATTGTTATAATTATATTCATAAAATATACTGTAATATTAATTATAAATTGCTAAAATTAACATGGACAAAGACCATCAAAACACTATTATTAATTTCAAAAGATACTATTTGCTACCCTTACTGGACCATTCCAAACGTTATTAAAATTTTTCTATTTCTGTAGCCTTCTTCATTTTTTTCGCAGAATACGGCGGTTCTTGTGGACTTTAAATCGAAATTGTTTATTGCTGTATATATTTGCAATTTCTCAGACGCTTGAGGTCTTTTTTTTTAAACAACTTAAATGTTAGTTATAGTTGTCATAATGGACTCGAGCATGAGCCGCAAATATGCCACTAAGCAAGCGTTTCCAAAACATTCTTTGGTTATGCTAGTGTTATCTCGGCAGCCTGCCCCTACTATTTCATCAGACCACGACAACCTGCTTAAATTTACGTGTATCATTATTTCCCCGGAAAACTACAGTCAATTGGCTTTATTCATACCTGTCTAATAATATAAGAAAAAATATTATACAAAACTTGGTGAATACGACCAACAAAGATTTTCAAGAGAAAAACCCCCGTTTTGAATCGATGGTAATAAAATCTTTTTCCGGGTATAAAACAAGATCAGATCGGTTGAAAATATGTTGACAAAGGCATTATTTTATAAAAGCGCATTGTAGATTGTTTTCAAACTTGGCATGTTTATTCATATTTATAATTGTAGAAAATTAATTTTTTTGTTACACGCCGTAACTTAAACTGGGGTACATAACGTGATCGATTAACAAATTTAACATCAGTAATAATAATAATACTCGAACCGTGTGATACGCCAACGCTCGCTTCTCACATAATGACAACCGTAGAGTCCCCGAAAGTAACTTTCAGACAGACTTTAAACTTTGTCAGTATTATTTACCACATATCAGATATCGAAAAGGATGATATTCACGTAGATTTTCAAGCTGAATCAGTTGAGTAAAATGTGATGTGTAAGTACGAACCACATTTCGCTCTCTTTGTTACTAACACAAAATCTGCTTTATCGTCGTTTATCAGACGACCATCACACTTTCCAGTACGTCAACTTCATACACAATACATCATAATAAGGTCGATGTATCGGCAAATACATACTCGGTCTCACCATCAAACGTGGTCATTGTACTCAAAAAATCGGACAGGATGGAATGGCAATCTCTTAAATTCATACATGATGACACGGAAGAAGAGAAATACTTTCTTACTGTGGATAATGTACAAAAATGTAAACAAGAGACTGAAAATGAATCAAACTGGGTAAATATTATCATTAGTGATGGTACTGCTATAATGCCGAGTATTTATCGAGTTTGTAACATGACTCACACCCCCATTAATTCTATCTCCAGACACAACATAATATTCTCCCTCAGATTACCTCCATGCAAGCTTTCAGAAACCAGGATGGGATTATCATACAAATGACGACCAAACAAACGCCAGAGTAAACCTCCCGCTGCAACACGATAAGCAGAGATCGTTTAAATTCTATAAGATGTTATAATATCATTGATCGGTTGTGGTGTCAATTCTGTCTTGAACTGCTCGGCCTTGACATGGGTATCGACATCGACTACGCTATCTAATTCTTTCCGTATTATCTTAACCGCATTTATCCATGTTTCATATTCTTTGGCTTCGCCATATGTAACTACTCGAAATGGAATGTCGCCAGTTGTGATTCCTAACAATCGCATTGCGCGGAATTGTTCGCGCAGTCGTGATTGAATCGTCTGCGTCAATCCGGGGGGGGGGGGGGGGGGGGGGGGGGGGGGGGGAAAGGGGGGGGGGGAGGAGGAAAAAAAAAAAAAAACAAAGGAAAAAACAAAAAAAAGAAAGAAGCGAGGGGCTGACGGAGAAAACCCACAGC